GCCTCCGTTTCAAAAAAAGTTTAAATAGGTAGTTCCACATTCCTGGAGTTCATATCTTGCATCACAACACTTTTCTTTTGCGAATAATTTGTCTTTTATAGAAAAAGATTAAGGATTACAATCTTGGCTGGCAGTGTTCAAGATGCGCTGTGGGCTAGAGACAAGCCACACAACAGTACAAGCTTGCGTTCTACCAAAGTTAGCCATAAAAAACCTAGTACAACGAGAACTGCGATGAATACGAGTAATACAAGAACCACGTTACTCCTTAACATCTTTAGTCTCTCTAATCAGGAAAGCATTCTTCGATCTGTTAGGCCCCTAGCTTTTGATCAATGAAAGCACTTCCAGGCATTCCGATTCAACAACAATCGGGAGGCCACTCCATTGCAGTGCCAGCAAAGGCCCGGTTTAATTGCATGAATTCCAGACTGTGGGATATCATCACAAGATACCTACTGCCGGCAAGAGCAAAAAGTAATGGAACCATCATGATTCCTAATAACCATACATTCGCCGGCTCATTCGTGGAGCATGGAGCCATCAATGTTTAGCTTCACATGCCCAAGAACATGAAGGGACCAAGAGCTTACATCTAGTATCACGTTGTTATGACATGTGGGTTTTGTATATGCAGGAAGCAAGAGTTAGTAACCACATTCCCATGTACTTGGCCTGCGCCTGGTGACGGAGTTCTGGACTAGGGGGTACTCACCATATCATCTCCTGGCTAGGGGGCGGGCCGAGGACTCCCATGACGGTTCATCAAGGGGCCACGTTAAGAAGGCCCATGGCGCATACAAGGAAAATCCACAAGCCTTGCTGGTCAAGACAAAGACTCCTAATCCGTGGCAGACTCTTCTCCACCGACGTAGCCAACTAGGACTCATGTTATCCTAGGCCTCCGATACTCTTATATAAACCTAGGCTAGGCTAGTCGATACATCAGATTCTAGACATCCTAGAACTCATTCACATGCGATCTCGAGGTAGATCAACCTGCAATCTGTACCCCATCTACAATCAATATAAACAAAGCAGGACGTAGGGTTTTACCTCTTCGAGAGGGCCCGAACCTTGGTAAATATTGTGTCCCCTCTCTGTCCTGTTACATCGTGCCAAAGCTATCAGATCGGGACCCCCTACCCGAGATTTGACAGATTCGACTCTGACACCTGGATTGGTCATAATGGAGTACAATGAAGATAAGTAGCCAGTCAAGAACCTCGTAGAAACCTCAACCGATGGAGTGGGATTTGAGTGTAGTACTTCATTCCTCACATGCCAAATCCTCCATAGAAGCATCAACAGCCAAACTCGCATCATCTCATTTACCTCGCAGACTAGCTGGACAAACCACTCTGCACCGACCAATGTGATATTTGTCAGGACGGGAAGCTCGCATTAATTGCCCATGGCTCGCCACAATATTTTTGCATTCTTATAGTTGCATAAGGCGTGAAAAATGTCTTTGTTGTCGCCTCCACAAACTGGACAGGTACACCTTTCCTCAAGATTGTGTTTGAATTTGTTGTTCTGGGTTGCAAGCGAGTTGTACGCCTCCCTCCAAACAAAGGAGATGACCTTCGATGTAAGGATCCATATGTCACACTATTCCAAGCTTAGCCTTTCAGGTCAACCCGAGAAAGAGGCCCATTCAAATCCTACCCACATCGTATATCTTCAGAACATACACGCATGGATATACGCTGCGGGGTATTACATCATATTAACATCACATAATCATCTAATAAGAAGCAATATATAGATAGGGGCTCACATGAGCCAAAACCCAAATTATTACATGGACGGGACCACATGGTCCAACGTAACATCATCCATGAAATGCAAATAGTCTGGGTACAAACAAAATATTAACTGCCTAAGAGGCTCGAAAGTAAATCAGGGATCCTATCCCATTAGGTTCCATGCTGCCACCCGGGATCTCCTATCTACTCGTCACCATCGAATTACTTAACGTAGTATGGCGCATCAACATCATCGTACTAGTGATCCTCTCCAGCAGTCATTTGTAGTTGCAAGGGTGAGTACATGACATACTCCACAAGGCTTAGATTAGATCTAAGCCAGTATGCAACTATTTCAAATGAGGGGGTGTGGTTTAGCGACGGTAAGCACTAAGCATTCTATGAAGACATGCTATAACTTGCATCTATCAGAGCTAAGGTCAGGGAGGGCATATGAGCCAATTACTCCGTCGACTTAACTTATTCCACAATAATAAACTACCTTGCACCCCCCGCGGTATCCCCCACGAGGAAGAACCCCATAAGGCACTCACACGGTCAGCAAGTTTTTAATCAGAATTATTAGATTGAAGTTATTCTCTGAACCGGTATAAGGCTCCAAGTCGTCCATAACAACGGGCACGGCTATTCGAGTAGATTTATCCTCGCAGTGGTGCACCAAGTTACCCATACACGTTCGATCATCCCTTAAAGGCCATCTAAGTACATTATATGCCATGTATCGGCGGGGTTCTGATTGACTATGACACTTCCCCTACACTGCATCCAAATCTAGGAAGGCACCCGACTTAGTTATACGTGAGAGTCTGGTCGAAGATCCGAGACGGACCCAGAAGTGTGCACATATGGTAAAGGTCAATTGGAGCCCAAAACCAGGGTAGCCACTTGCCGATGCTGGAATTCCCTATATGTATGCAATCTATCATGGATATCCCCCAATGGTAAAAGCCGCCATTTTAAGATGATGAAAGATGCAAATATGCGTATACCCAAATGGATAAGCCCAAACTAGGTGTGCCCTTGGAAAATTCCGAGTTTAAGAAAATAGGTGGATGGGGCACGCATAAAACCTCCCACGAGAGGTTAGCCCGCTCGGTCTTGGATCAAGCTAACAAGAAATTGGGTCCTAGTTCAACTCAAGCGGAACAAAACAACGAGGCACAAAGCCTTGCCTCCCACCGCTATCTCCAGAAGTACCAGATAACCAAAGTGCTTCAGAGCCAGTTTAATAATCCAAGAAGCAACATCCAGGTAAGACATGACTCGAGCAACACCTAAGCAAGGCACCTAGGTTTACCCCTCACCACGGGCCGGCTACGCCTAGTGCACCTTCAATTCATCCTCGACCGCGTCCGTGACCGGCTCGTGGGATGGAAGGGACGAATGCTCTCCGTAGCAGGCAGACGCGTCCTAGTTCGCTGCGTCCTCTCCGCCCTGCCCACCTTCGCCCTCACTGCGCTTCGAGTACCCAAAAAGCTCCTGAAGGAAATTGACAAGTGCAGACAATGCTTTCTATGGGGAAAGGATCAAGAGCTCTCTGGCGGCAGCTGCAAGGTCAACTGGGAACGGGTCTGCTCCCCGATCGAGCACGGTGGGCTCGGCATACTGAACCTGTCAAAGTTCAGTCGTGCTCTCCGTCTGCGATGGCTCTGGCACAGCTGGAAAAAAACCCCTCTCGACCCTGGGTAGGAACGGAGCCCCCATGTGAAGCCTCAGACCACACCCTCTTCAACGCCGCGACGACGGTGACCATTGGCAACGGCAAGACGGCGAGCTTCTGGCATAGCTCATGGCTAGGGGCGGTGCCGCTCAAGTTCTGTTTCCTAACACTTTTCAAGCATTCAAAATGTAAGGGCAGAACGGTGGCTCAAGCAGTAGGTGGCAATCGATGGATCTCGGACCTGGCACATGGCAACACCAACGACCTGGTCAATGAGGTTCTGAACCTGCATCGCCTTGTTCAGAACCAACAACTAACCCTGCAAGACGAAGACCAAGACCAGATTCGCTGGAATTTCGATGGATCAGGCCAGTACAACTCCCACTCCGCTTACACCTTGCAGTTTCTGGGATCGACGACATACATGTACCAGGGCCTGATCTGGGGTACTTGGGCTCCGGCGAAGCTCAAGATTTTTGCTTGGCTCCTCCACCAGAACAGGCTGTGGTGCAACGACCGTCTTCAGCGGAGAGGCTGGACAAACGACTACTTCTGCCAGCTCTGCCTTAGAAACCTTGAGAGCTCTGCGCACTTATTCTGGGATTGCACCTTCACGAGGATGATCTAGGCTGAACTATCCTCGTGGGAGCACTGTCAGGGTCTGAACCATGCTTGCAAAATCAACAACAAGAGCTCTCCAGAGAAGGTGGCTACCATGATCTCCGTGACACAGCGAGCATTCATGAAAGGAACAAAAGCTTTGGTGATGCTTGCACTGTGGAAAATCTGGCAACAACGCAACCACTGCGTTTTCAGGAGAACCGAGGCAAGGGTGCAAGACGTGTTGGATGAGATTAGGAGAGATCTTAGCCTGTGGCAAGAGAGTGGTGTCAAATTCCTCCAGAGCCCCTTCGGGGATCCACCATGAGATTGTAGCCTCGGATATGGTGCAGTTGGCACCCCCTCTTTTTCCCTTATTTCTTTTCTTATCTCCTTGATCCCGGGATCACCACATTTGTCACTTTTTCCATTGCTCCCTGCTAAATCAATGAAATTCCAGCCTTAGCTGGCACTTTAAGAAAAAACACCTAAGCAAGGCTGAACATGGAACATCAAGCAGGAACATGGCATGGTAGCAGTGGGAGGTAAAGGCAATATTGGGAAATAACAATCAGACCATTCAAAGGGTGGGCATCGAGGACACGCTACAACATAGTTACACTAATGCAAACAAGATGGAGATAGCATGGGTAAGGCATGATCAAGAAGGTTTTGCTTGTTTGGTAACCCAATGGCCTGGTGCTATAGGCTGGCTCCCCAGAAGTGTCACTTGATCCTGGTTTTAATTAAGCTATATGTATAATACTGTCTATAATCCTGGAACCAAAAATAAGTGAGCAACGCCATAAATTGCAGGGCAGCTTTGCCATCGCAAGGGATTTTCACAGGCATGTGACCCAAAATTACAAGCCATGTGCGATCCATGGACTAAGCTTATAAGCTTACAAGTATGATCTTGCAGCAGTACTAAAACGTCTAACTCTGCTGTGTGTTTTCAGCAGCACCATTGATCAGTGTACCAGTCCAAGAAGGGCGTAGTAGGCCAATGTAATAGGAAGAGCTATTAGCATGCCAAAAATAACGCTGTGAAATAAGATTTACAAATGGTTAGAAGGTAATCCCAGTGCGAAACGCGACAACTCGGCAATGCATCATCATTTATTGTAACTTGAAATCACTCACGCAGTGCTCAGGATCGCAGGATGGACGTTGTATTCCTTGGCGAAAACAAAAGGTACGATCCCTTGTGGTAGAGCCGCCTGCCAAATTAATGTCATTAAAAGATATCTTATTCTCGATATACTCATATACATCTATTTATATTTGAGAGACAAATAACTTCGGATGGAGGACATATTAAGTTATTAAAAAGTACCCTTCGTCCGGAATTACTTATCATGAAAATGGATGTATCTAAATATATTTTATTCCTAGATATATCTATTTTTTATCATTTCTGCGAGAAGTAATTCGGGGCGAAGGGTATTTTCTACACACATACGTACGCAATTATTGAAATAAGGAAATTGTGTCCCCTCAAAGATGCGCGTGCAGCTTCTATAAACACTCTCATCCCCTTCTGCAGAAAGAGACACTCTCATCCCAAAACTATAGTGCACCCTTTTATTCATAAACTAGATTGATTAATTTTGTTTATGTTAATTAATGCTATATCCTGATTCACAATTTTTTAATGCTATATCCCCTTATTAAAAGCATATACTCCCTCTGTCAGTGTTTGTTAGGCTCTCTAGTATTTTTTTAGTATAGTTTAAAATTTACTCTCTCTATTATAAAATAAAAGATGTATTAGTTCTTTTTCAAAAAAAAAAGATGTATTAGTTTTAAAAGTCAAACATGTACATGTTTGATCAGGTTTTAGAAAAAAATATCAATATGTATAGTATTAAATTTGTATCATTAGATCCATCACGAAAAGTATTTTCATATGTTATTTATTTGGTATTGAAGATGTCTATGTTTTATCAAAAGATCTTGGTAAAAAAATTCACAATTTTGACTTACACGAAATCCGATACACATTATATTCTAGTCCTAGAATGGAGGGGTTAAAAATATATAGTTAAACTTCAGCCCACAATAAGAGAGGGCCTAGCAAAACCGTTTTTCGAGTACCCATTCACGTATGAGCTTCATATACTCTACGAATTTGGTATAATTCGCTGATGTATATTTCACAGATTAATTGATATTTAACAAAATGGATTTGCTATCTTCATCTAGATGAGAATTAACAAAGTCACATCTAACTTATATACCTTTCAAATATTTGAGTAAAGAAAAACAAAAAAAGTAACACACGAATATTCACGTAAACTCAAATGGTGTGAAAATTAAATGTGACATATTACTCTCTCCGCCTCATGGAGCCCCATAATATAAGAGCATTAACTCTTGTTTAGATGAGAACTAGCCACGTCTAGGAGAACATGCAAAAAAAAAAAAACACCTTTTCACGTGTATGCATGCGTGGTGTTTTTTTAGCTGGCATGCGTGCGTAGTTACCTGAACAATGGCGACCTTGAGGAGCGTCCCACGGAGACCGACGGCGGCTGACGCGGCAGCAGTGATGGCAGGGCCCGCGAGGAAGCGGACGGCCATGGAGGCGACGGCGGCGGAGTTGCCGCAGGCGATGATGCTCGGCTGCAGCGCCATGAACAGTCCTGCCCAGGCAAAGGTTGACGGTGTTATGCATGCATGCGGGGTGTGGGCAGGAGGGCGAGGGGGGAGGATTAATTGCGGTGCGACACGGTGTAGGGCTAGGCGGAGACAGGAGCACAAGGGGCGTGGGCACCCACCCAGGCTAAACATGGCCATCCCCAGCCCAGCGTCCGAGAGGATGGAGATGGACTTCTCGACCATCGTTGGCATGGAGACGTGCCACCTGCGATCCATGAACATCACCCCACCCGTGCATGCGTTAGATCGGATAAGACGAGATCGTTAGCCGCTATACAAGATATAAAATGTACGAGTAGTAACAGGCTAACGGCCATGATTATTACAGTGATGAGATTAGCCTAACCAAACAGCTGTGCAGTAGTACTTGTGCAGCCGTGCACCGTGCAAACTTTCAACTTTATTATTGGTGTCCGGACGATCATTACGGGCCCCCGCGGGAATAGCGGATTGCTTGGCCCGCCAACACCACCGTCCGGGTACGTAGAAGCTGCTTTTTCGGTTCGGTTATCCCCACCGGCAGAAAGCTCCTACACCGCACAGTTTTGCTGCCTCCTCCTTGTTGAAGCAGCCTACCATACTATCGCCAAGAATGTCGATAGCATCGCGCATCTCACACCAGACGAATCCATAGCTAGATTTTACACTGGCCAAGTGGCAAACGATCCATGCCGCCTCTCCGCTGTGCTATGTAAAATCACACAGCCTGGCTAACTTAACTTGTGCCAAAAAAAAAAAAACTTGTGCCAGTGACCCCGCAAAAGAAAAGTGTACGCTCCTACTGGTATGAGGTGAAGCATACCAGGTGAGTGGAAGGAGAACCGTACGTACGTACCGGAAGGCGATGAGGGACCAGGTGAGGCCGATTAGGCTGGAGTAGGTGTTGGGGTTGCGGATGAGCTTGCGCCACACCATGATTAGTATGAGCCGTGTCATCACGCTCGCCGGCGGCATTTGGTGCTTCCCGGTTTCCGCTCCGTCCTCATCGCCGGGGCTGGAGTTCAGCTTCGCCGTCGGCCTGTCCGGCCCGGCCTGCACCGCGTCGCCGTCGTCCTCCACTGCCTTTCCGCCTCCCCTCGCTGCCGCGGTGTAGCCCCCGTTATCTACAAGTTGCTATGTCGTTTACTCTTCCTTGCACATGAAACCCGTGAAGTAGTGATGGACGTAGTATGGCATTAATGTGGAGACGAACCTTTGCATGAGCCATTCTGCGGCGGGTCCGCGGGGACAACCATGCGGATTTCCTTGGCGGCGGCATCGAGATGCGCTGCGTCTGTACCGCCGCTGAACACCGGCAAGCCGCTTACTACTTCTGAGACGGGAAAGGCGCTGGAGCTCCACACGAACATGTGGAGCTCCTTGGCGTCATGGTTGTGCTGCGCTCCGGCGTCTGTCATGGCTTGCTTTGGCCCTGCCGAGTGCTCCTCCAAGTTGGACTCCCTCGGCGTCGGCCTCTGCGACGACTGCACCGAGTAGTGCTCGGAGGCGCCGAAGCTCGAGTCGCCCACCCTGGCGGGCGGCGCACCACCGACGACGGCGAAGAAGTCCGCCTGGTTGAAGTTGGAGCCCCGCGGGGTGGGGTTCTGCGACGAGCTCAAGGAGTAGATCTCCGCGCCCGTCAGATTTGACGGCCGCGGCGTCACCAGCAGCGTCGACCGCCTCGACACCGAGGACCGGCGCACGGTGACATGCAGCCGCCCGTCGGCCGCCACCTCGGACTCCGTCTCCGCACGGCCGCCCTCCAGCGACACCACGTCGGGGTCTACATGCAGCGACACGATGGACGCCGCGGTGTCGGGGAACTGATCAGCGATTAGCATGCGAGCGGCGCGAAACTCGAAGAGGAAGAGCAGCAGCGTGTACCAGATGATGCACTGGAGCACGACAATCTGGACCATGAGCGAGCCAGCGTAGGGGCCGTACATGGCTACGAGCAGAGGGATCCCCATGACGAGCGTGTTGGGCAGCGTCGACAGCGAGAAGAGCGTGATGGACCAGTCCAGCCGCGAGGGGATCAGACGGGAGCACGCGGCGAGCAGGGCCAGGACGAGGAACTTCTGCAGCGTGTCCGCGGCCAGGAAGCGGAGGTTCATCTCGTAGGGGTCGTTGGTGGAGATGAAGTGGAAGGAGAGCAGCGGCACGGCGAAGATGGCGACGAAGCGGTTGATGCCGGAGCACTGGTCGGGCGTGAAGATGCCCCACCACCTCACCGAGCCGTACGCCAGGATCATCGCCACGTAGAGCGGAACCACCGCCGCGAGGACCGTGTACAGGTCATGCAACGATATCATCTTGCCGCCCGGAGGCAGCTTATCGCTCGGGGTTTTGCTTCTGCCTCCTCGCAGTGGAAGGTGTGACTTGTGAGTTGTGAGAGTGGTGCTCAGGGGAGCAGCGGAAAAATTAATTTGGGTCTGGGTTTAGCTAGGTCGATCTGACCATTTATATGGCAGCAGGACGAATGTGGTTCGAGAGGCGCAGCCCCAGGAGTAGGATTTTCGCACACACAATCGGCGGAGCGAGCCGAGGGGAGGGCAAAGGGAAAGGCTTCCGTAATACGTGGACCGTCAATAGTACTCACGGTTGCGAAAAAATAGGATCACATCAGGCGATCGGAGGAGGCGACCGGGATCCCTTGCGCGTCGCCGGTGACGCCACCGGTTCCCTCTCTCTCCGTCGGCCGCTCCGGCGGCGGGAGGAAGGGGGAACCCCGGGTCTGTTCGCTAGGTGGGTGTGTGATAGGGTTAGGGTTGAGGGAGACGCTGCCGAGGCCGTTGCGGTGGTGTCGCGTCGGAATAAGTTTCTCCGGGCTCCGTTTGCAGTCAGGCGAGGCTTTTGCCTTCGTCTAGGAGCCAGCGGTGTTGGGGATCCCCAGATCTCGTCGAGGTCGCGGGCTATGGTGGTTGGAGGTCTATCGGCACTGGCCGTTTGGATCCTCAGATGGGTGATGGATGCAGGAAGACGAAGACCTTTCTTCTTCCTTATTGGTATGATTTGCTGCTGCTGTTCTTCTCCTTCCTCTGCGCTGATGCTGGTGGGAGATCCTGCTTTGTCCGGACGGATGGCCCGGCCGTGGTGCTGGACCGGTCGGATGACTCGAGTTCTCTTCTTTTTGGAAGGGACACTTTTCACGGTACTCAAAGCCAAAGATGGCGACGACTGTTGCAGGTGTGTTGGATTGATGTCCATGCCTTCTCAGCGCTGGTGTCAACAAAGAAGGAAGCAGCGTGGCGGCAATTGTACCGTGGGCGAAGATGATGACCTGTTTGTGACTGGTTGCAGATCCTTCTGCTGCAGGGGTCTTCTTTCAAGATTCAGGGATGATGACACAGAGCTTCGGAGATCTTCTTGTGTTATGATTGTCTTAGAGTATTCTAGGTATTCATGGTTCTTTGTGTTTGCGTTTCAGTATGCTTGTAAAAGGCAACTACTTTATACTGATTCGTAATTTGAATGAAGAATTTCTCTCTTAAAGAAAAGAGGCGCAGCCCCGAGTCCGGGTGCGGTTTCTCTGTCCAAACTCTGTAGTGGAAAATCTCGATGAAAAACAGCCTAGCCGCGCAGCCCAGCGCACCGACTGCATCGGTCCTCTTGCTGCTTCCCTAGGAGCCAGTTCTTTTGGCTCGATTATGAAAAATCACTGTCCGGGCAATCAAAATTGCAAAAAAAAAAAAAACTCGTCTCTGCCCCAGAAACCGTCCAAAATCATCCCAGAATTGTAGTGCAATTTAGAATCGCCAAAACTTGACAATTCTCGCAAATCTAGCCAGCCCCTTAAAACTAAATTGTTTGGTTTGAACTAATACCCCTATTGGCAACTCAATTTACAACCACTCCGGCATCCCGAGCGAGGCCCGAAAGCAGGGGATTTCATCGAACCCCTTCGTCCACCCTGCACAGTCATTGTGCCTAGCCTCCTTGTGCTAAGGTTGGCACGCCGCAAGCTGCTCTCTGCCCCGGCGTCATCAGATCCACCGGCGGGAGGCCCCTACGACACTGCCCTGACCCGGCCGCCCCTTCTCCTCGAATCCTCCCCGCCTGGCTGCCCCTCCTCGACTCTTCCCCGCCCGACCCGACCTCCATCCATGCCCTGTAGCAGGACGCGCCCGGCCGCCTGCTCGGCCGGCCCTCCCTTTGTTGGAAATATGCCCTAGAGGCAATAATAAATTAGTTATTATTATATTTGCTTGTTCATGATAATCATTTATTATCCAATTGTATTGATAGGAAACTCATATACATGTGTGGATACATAGACAACACCATGTCCCTAGTAAGCCTCTAGTTAACTAGCTCGTTGATCAACAGATGGTTACGGTTTCCTGACCATGGACATTAGATGTCATTGATAACGGGATCACATCATTAGGAGAATGATGTGATGGACAAGATCCAATCCTAAGCCTAGCACAAAGATCGTGTAGTTCGTATGCTAAAGCTTTTCTAATGTCAAGTATCTTTTCCTTAGACCATGAGATTGTGCAACTCTCGGATACCGTAGGAATGCTTTGGGTGTACCAAACGTCACAACGTAACTGGGTGGCTATAAAGGTGCACTACAGGTATCTCCGAAAGTGTCTGTTGGGTTGGCACGAATCAAGACTGGGATTTGTCACTCCGTGTAAACGGAGAGGTATCTCTGGGCCCACTCGGTAGGACATCATCATAATGTGCACAATGTGACCAAGGGGTTGATAACGGGATGATGTGTTACGGAACGAGTAAAGAGACTTGCCGGTAACGAGATTGAACAAGGTATCGGTATACCGACGATCGAATCTCAGGCAAGTACAATACCGTTAGACAAAGGGAATTATATACGGGATTGATTGAGTCCTTGACATCGTGGTTCATACGATGAGATCATCGTGGAACATGTGGGAGCCAACATGGGTATCCAGATCCCGCTGTTGGTTGTTGACCGGAGAATGTCTCGGTCATGTCTACATGGTTCCCGAACCCGTAGGGTCTACACACTTAAGGTTCGATGACGCTAGGGTTATAAAGGAAGTTTGTATGTGGTTACCGAATGTTGTTCGGAGTCCCAGATGAGATCCCGAACGTCACGAGGAGTTCCGGAATGGTCCGGAGGTAAAGATTTTTATATGGAAAGTTGTTGTTCGGGTTCCGGAAAAAGTTCGGGTTTTTTCGGTATTGTACCGGGAAGCTTCCAGAAGGTTCCGGAGGATTCCGGAGGGGTCCGGAGGTCCGGAAATTGTTCCACCACGTCCAATACAGTAGCATGGGCTGTAGGGGGGCGCCCTAGCCTTAATGGGCCAGGGAAACCAGCCCCCCCAAGGCCCTGCGCATGGGAAGGGGAAAACCCTAAAAGGGGAGGCCTCCACTTGACTTGGGAGGCACTCCTCCCCCCTTGGCCGCCGCCCCCAACCCTAGATGGGATCTAGGGGGGCCGGCCCCCTCTTTCCCCCACCTATAAATAGTGGAGGGGTGGGAGGGCAGCCGAACCACATGTTCTGGCGCAGCCCTCCCCCTCTCCCAAGTACGTCTCCTCTCCCGCGGTGCTTGGCGGAGCCCTGCTGGATCACCACGCTCCTCCATCACCACCATGCCGTTGTGCTGCTGCTGGATGGAGTCTTCCTCAACCTCTCCCTCTCTCCTTGCTGGATCAAGGCGTGGGAGACGTCACCGGGCTATACGTGTGTTGAACGCGGAGGTGCCGTCCGTTCGGCACTAGGATCTCCGGTGATTTGGATCACGACGAGTACGACTCCTTCAACCCCGTTCTCTTGAACGCTTCTGCTTAGCGATCTACAAGGGTATGTAGATGCACTCTCCTTCCCCTCGTTGCTGGTTTCTCCATAGATAGATCTTGGTGACACGTAGGAAAATTTTGAATTTCTGCTACGTTCCCCAACAGTGGCATCATGATCTAGGTCTGTTGCGTAGATTCTTTGCACGAGTAGAACACAAAGTAGTTGTGGGCGTTGATTTTGTTCAATATGCTTACCGTTACTAGTCCAATCTTGTTTTGATGGTATTGTGGGATGAAGCGGCCCGGACCGACCTTACATGTACTCTTACGTGAGACAGGTTCCACCGACTGACATGCACTTGGTGCATAAGGTGGCTAGCGGGTGCCAGTCTCTCCCACTTTAGTCAGAACGGATTCGATGAAAAGGGTCCTTATGAAGGGTAAATAGCAATTGACATATCACGTTGTGGTTTTTGCGTAGATAAGAAACGTTCTTGCTAGAAACCCATAGCAGCCACGTAAAACATGCAAACAACAATTAGAGGACGTCTAACTTGTTTTTGCAGGGTATGCTATGTGATGTGATATGGCCAAGAAGAGTGTGATGAATGATATGTGATGTATGAGATTGATCATGTTCTTGTAATAGGAATCACGACTTGCATGTCGATGAGTATGACAACCGGCAGGAGCCATAGGAGTTGTCTTTATTTATTGTATGACCTGCGTGTCATTGAACAACACCATGCAATTACTTTACTTTATTGCTAATCGGTAGCCATAGTAGTAGAAGTAATAAGTTGGCGAGACAACTTCATGGAGACACGATGATGGAGATCATGATGATGGAGATCATGGTGTCATGCCGGTGACGATGAAGATCATGGAGCCCCGAAGATGGAGATCAAAAGGAGCAATATGATATTGGCCATATCATGTCACTATTTGATTGCATGTGATGTTTATCATGTTTATGCATCTTGTTTACTTAGAACGACGGTAGTAAATAAGATGATCCCTTACAACAATTTCAAGAAGTGTTCTCCCCTAACTGTGCACCGTTGCTAAAGTTCGTCGCTTCTAAGCACCACCTGATGATCGGGTGGGATGGATTCTTACGTTCACATACAACGGGTGTAAGACAGATTTACACACGCGAAACACTTAGGGTTAACTTGACGAGCCTAGCATGTACAGACATGGCCTCGGAACACAAAGACCGAAAGGTCGAGCATGAGTCGTATAGTAGATACAATCAACATGAAGATGTTCACCGATGATGACTAGTCCGTCTCACGTGATGATCGGACACGGCCTAGTTGACTCGGATCATGTAATCACTTAGATGACTAGAGGGATGTCTATCTGAGTGGGAGTTCATAAGATGAACTTAATTATCTTGAACATAGTCAAAAGATCTTTATGTCGTAAGCTCGCGCTTTAGTTCCACTGTTTAGATATGTTCCTAGAGAAAATATAGTTGAAAGTTGACAGTAGCGATCATGCGGACAGTAGAAAGCTTATGTCCTTAATGCACCGCTCAGTGTGCTGAACCCCAAATGTCGTTTGTGGATGTTGCGA